CCGTGCCTCAAACATAAAGGGAATTTCGTACAACGGTCGGTAATTCTTACCACGTGGCGGAGCTTTGACAACTTCCTCACCGTCGGCCCCTACAACAGAACGGGTATCTCGGGGAATGCGTATTGATGAAAAGAACACTTTTTTAATTAAACCATTAGGAAGTTTAACATTGATAGCATCGCCATTAAACACCTCCACTACTGTGCCTGTAAAATCTTTTTCTTTGTAGTTCAAATGTTGAGCATTTAACTTGAAATCTTGCCACAAACGTAAACGCTTTTCTTTTGCAATGCGTTCAGCGGCGCGTAGTTTTTCAGCACACGATACTGAAAAGCAAGATTTAAAGAGTTATATTAGGCTTAAAGAAACTGAATTATTGTACGCAAAATTTTGTAGCCGGGGTGAAATGGTTCCTTGGTCAACTTATCTAGACCATAAAACTTTGGAGTCCGTCAAATTGTTCTCGCAATGCTTAAAATACTATTAAGGATGTTAAAAACGCAAGGTTACATATATCCTTTAGCAATTTAAAGCATTGCAAATTGTAGACCAGAAAACTAATGCCAAAGCTTTGAATGAAAAGCCAAAACATCTTGAATCTGCCCTAGAAAATCCATATTGCATCTATGTTTCCAATTTTAAGAAAGGGTTTAATCTTAAATTTGAGATCGAGATGCTCTTGACAAAACATTTGGAGTATGTTTTCAAACTTACGGTCTTTCATTACAGCCATTGACCAATCCACGCACTTCGCCAATCCTTCGCGTAACAACGATTCAGCGATATTGCCCCTAGGATGAAGAATAGTGCCAATGAAATTAGCATTATTAACAGATTCTAGGCGGATTTTCACTTCACGTTGCAATAAACGAGTTTCCACAAAGTAACGTGCTTCATCGACAAACGGAATCTTCACACTTAAATCTGGTTTACCTTCTTGATCTAATTTTACACCAGGACAACGTATGCCCGAAATCATCAGAGTAATATAATAGAAGTCCGGCAGCAGAAAGGCACGCACCGTCGAACCATCGCGCACATGTTCAATAATCGCTCTAACCGGTTCACCGTTATATAATGTAACAATATGGGCGGGATTTTCTTGTGTCCATTTGATTTCACGTATTTTTTCGGAGGGGTTAACGTTCGACCATTTACCACGGCCGGCGTGTTTGGCTTGATCCTCCAATTCGATTAGTTTCTGTAATTCTTCTTGTTTGTACGGCTCAGATGGGCGACTTTCTCGTCGCACAGTTACCAAGCCCTCTTTGACCATAGTTTGTACAACATTCTCACCGGTCTCATCACCACACCATACAAAACCATATTCACGATTGGAGTTTGGCGGTTTCTCATAGCTGAACGTTACCTCTTGGCCAATCAACTTTTCGCGCAGAAATTCGCGCGAGTCCCAAGCCCAAGGTTCATCCTTTGTTTCGTCACCGCCGGCGCCAGGCCGGCGAGCTAATTTCGGAGCTAACACGTAGGAGAAAGTGATTTGTTTTTCGGGAGGAGGTGCCCCTTTAGAAGCGCGGATTACTACTGTATCGCCGGAGAGAACCTAAAACGGCATAACGTTTATATTTAAATATCCTTAACGTATATATTTACGCATATTTAAATTTAAAAAAACTCTTGGGCACGTGCTTTCCACTACACATATCGGTCGCCAAAAAATTGTTGTAAAGTTGGCTGCAATTTACTTTAGAATACATAGTGTTGCAAAGAAAAAAGTGTGAAGTCGTATGAAAAAGAAGTATATTTTTTTTAATTTATAAAGCTATGAAGAAAATAATTCGTTTTTTCTGTGTATTTACAGTATTTGAAAACAGCAGTCCCGCCAATATACATGCATATGAAAGGCATGTACATGTATATAAAATATGTATATATACATAAGACTCTAATGCACTAACTTTGTAAACCAAGTAGAAGTGATAAAAGTTCATGAAGTGTATAATGCCAACATCATCAATGTGCGCATACATACATCTGTTTTTATGCATATGTGTGAACAAGCATTGTGTATATACTCCATTCATACTGATAATCGATTTGGTGACTGGCCATTCTTTCTTTTGAAAGAAAATTGCGTAGATAAACGTTGGTGCATAAATGTAGTGCAGAAAAATGGATCCAAAAATTTGATACCTATCAATTCGTCTATCAATCGTCTCTACAAATTGACGATTTTATCGTTTCACAAACGATGAAATAAAGACATTTATGTTCCTTGTTTTTACAAGCGCAAATTATCCAAGAATTCATGATATTAAAATACTGTTAGACTTTAGATCAGAATTTTAATACAAAATATTTGAGCTTCGTTAATTATGGGCGAACCCAACCATCCAAAAATTGCTACAATCAATTTTATTGCAAATGAAGTTTTGAGATCGTAATTTTGATCTTAATCGACAGAAAGATTGACAAATTTGGCTCAACAGAGCAACTTGTACACGCGAATGAAAAATATAATCACTGACGCGTATTTGCATTTATATATATATTCTTCCGGTAGATATAGTAGGTACGCTAGAAAATTCTTTGCTGCCACGTTGTTTTTTTCTTCATATTTGTCAATGTTTAAAAAGAAGGAAAAAAAATAGATTAAAGGAGACACATTGATAAAAAATCTAATTTTGAGAAAGTCAAAAAATGAAAGCTATCAATATAAATTCATAAAGAAAAGTGTACGTAACAGTCGGAGAAGAAGACAATTCAAAGATAACACTCGAAAAAAATTTTCCTAGATCTTTGTAATATTTTCCTTCGCCAAACATAAATTACCAACGTTCAAATATAAAGAAAAAATGAAGAGCAAAAGTGAGGTTAAAGTTATGCTACGCAGTCAACCCGGCAAACGACACTATTGCAAAGCAGCAGCGCTGCTGTTGACGTTGAACTTACTAGATAGAAAAAAAAAGTATCTGCCAGGTTGGCAATCGTCATTTATTCGCTCAGTATCGTTTTTGTCTTGTTACTCTTTTCAAGTACTGTATATGTGCATCTCACTTTAAAATTCGAAAGCTGTCATTATCGACTGGCAGCGCTGACAACGCATCGAAATGTATGCGTATATTGAAAATGACAATGTATTGGAATTTTTTTTCATTGTATTAAAGAAAAATATTTTTTTTAAGGTTTGTTAATTGGGAAATCTGTAATTCACTGTTGACACTTACTTGCTTAACAATACCCTTGAGTTTGGATGCCGCTGGGGGGTTTTCTTTGTTGCCTGAAGCCGTAGCAGCTGCCGTATTGCTTGTACTCATTTTTTCTTTTTTTTTTCCTTGCAGTTGGTGACGGAGAACTTTTTATAACGATTTCCTTGATGTGAATGTGGATTGAGGCAGAATGTGTTGTTGAAATGTTTGATGTTTTCAATTTTTTATTTTTCAATCTGTATATCTTTTCTTTTATTGCTTCAAAAACAACTTTGCCTAAAACACTTAATTTAATTACATTTATGTCTTCCACTTTTAAAATTCATAAAGGATTGAGAAGAAACCCGTTTTTCTCCCTTTGCAAAAGAATGATGTTTTCCTACTATGCTACCAGTCAAAATCGTTCTGCCCGAAAAGAAGTTTAATTTCGTTTTGACAATGTAAAATGTGTGTTGGTTGACTTAGTTGTTTGTTGGTGAACTGTTATTTGGATAGAGTTGCCATGTCTTAACATGCTAGGACAAAAAAGAAAAAGCTTTTGGTAGTTTTTGATTTTTTTCTTTTTTTTTTATTGCTATCGTATAAAATGTAGTTCCTTTTATAATTTTTAAATGTACAAATATGTAAGCGTATTTTTTTAATATAAGCTATATGATTAAATAAAATCTACCACACTTTTAAAGGATGCCAGAAAATGTATTTAATAGATTAAAACCAACACAAGCTTTATTGTGTATTTGAAAAGCAACCTCGAATTTTTTCCAATTCTTTGATAGATATAGCGACGGGATCTTGGGCAACCAGCTGAATTAACTTTGCTTCTGACAAGCTTATTTTTTTTGCAGTCAATCTTTGCTGCATGTGCAATTATATTTCCCAAATATTTAAGCTGTCTCCATTTTCCCATACTTATCGAACGTCATAGTAACGTTTTTCTTTTTCTATTTTCTTCAGGTACTTTATTGCTCGTTTGATTTCATTCATTCTCGGTTTTAAATAAATTTTTAAGTTCGAAATTCTGTTTTTCCGACGAATTGATTTTAGTAGGGAGAGTTTCTTGCTGTCCACGTAAATCATCTACGTTTTTTATATCTAAGAAGTCCAACTTATTCTCTTTAATATCGGGCATGCGGTATGTTGTGCGCATATGTTTGGCTATTTAACGTTCAGTTGTAACAATGATTTTAAACAAAAATTAACATGAGATCCGTAATTATCATGGCACTTAGGTGAAGGAGGACCGGCAACACCTCATCGCTAGATGCAAGGAGACTCTCTGTGCTTATGAAGACCAAAATTTCCGAAATTTGTTTAGTTGTATAGCAACCTTCACACATATGGACATTTATTAATTATAAGTTTTTATCAGTATAAATATTTTGGCTTGCTTTTTGCGGTGATGGGTGGGTAATACTAAAAAGATTAAAAAGAATAAAACGATTATTATCTATAAGAGTTGCAGGGAGGAAAGTTAATTAAACAACTTTGCCTAGTCCTACAATAGTTTAATTAAAATTGAAAATTATTAACACAATTTTATATTATTAGGAGTTTTATAAAAAATAATGTGTTATATAAAATTTATGCAAAAAAACCTCTTTCCAAAAAAGAGTAACAAAAAATATGTTCTTATTTTTCAATTTTATGAATGAAAAAAAACATTTCAAATTGAAAAATTGTCTCGTTTGAAATATTTTTACAAATGCATTAAAAAAATTGATTGTTGCTCTAAAATTTATAATCGCTATATCCAACTTTCTTTTTTTTTTTCTACTAAGCTTGGAATAAAATTCTATTTCTTAAAGTAAAATTTAGGTTGCTGTACATTCCTTAAAAAATCCACCGAGGGTCCTTTTGAATTTACTGAGAATAACAATAATAATCTGTTTCTCAGAGTAAAATTTCCCACACGACAGACACAATGCCAAAAAAGAAATCGTACAACAAAACAACCGAAGTTCGCGCTATTAGTTAATGACATATGATATATATATATAATTCAGTCTTCATTTATATGTACGTACAAGCAGGGTTACCTCTTAGTTTCTTCGTTTTGTATTTCATTTTATGAACACCAACAATTAATGTCCAAACAATAATGCCTTCTCTTGAGTTAACTTTATAAAAAACGCTTGTTTCAGAAGATCACAAAATTGTATCGAATGTAATCGAATTCTTAATAATACATAGCCATTTACAGGTTCTAATTGATACATTACCTTAAAATTGGAGATTGCTATACTTTTTATCAACAAGTTATTATTTTTTTCGTTATTAAAATCAAAAATTAGCAATATTCTTGAATTTAACCACGAAACTGTGCGATATGTAGAAACGTGGAATATGCATATGAAACATTATTAAATGATAATAAAACATTGCCAAGTGCAATTTTTTTTCTAAATTTGTACAGTAAATATGAAGAACACAATTAATTGCAATATTTATTCCTTGGAAAAGTGTAGAAAGGTGTCAAAAATATTGCGTAAAATTGCACATTTTAATCTTTAGTTGAAACGATATATTCTTATGATTTTTTTTTTGTTTTGAAGAATCGTTTGATTTAAATCGATTTTACGTTCTGAGAAGAAAAAAACTTACGTAGTCATCCCGCCGAACGTTGGGAATGGTTCCAGCAGTTGATTTTTTATTCGTTCCACGTTGAACACGATGACTGCAGTTGTAACGTGAAGCATGGTGTAAGATTTGTATATTCGTGTTTATATGAAGCTCTACAAATAGTTTGCATTTTATCAGTGCATGTGGCAGCAGTAGCTATTGTGTGTGCGCCGTATTGTATAAAATTTCATACAATACCAAAGAATAATGATTTTGACTAGTCGCCACTTTTTGTGACATTTTGTAACGATTCTATTTGCAACGAATAACGCTACCACGTACCAGCATCGCAATGAACATCTGTATACTTGCAGTTAATTAAATTTAGCCTTCATGACGAGCCAGAGAAACAAAAGCGCGATAAGCAAATCATCTTTTCTATCTGCACTATTCACATTTAGAAAGACAGATGCTGTAAACAATTACTATGTGGTCAGTTTTTCTTGGGAGGAAATAATAAAGTAATGAAGTAATTTTATAATAAAGTTAGTGATGTTGTTTTTATTTACTTTTATCCAAAGAATGGTTGTCTAATTAGCTTTTTTTTTAAAGACAATGGAAGTAACTACGTTGCCAATTGTACCACCAAACTTAAAGCTTGGTGTTGGTATGGTGCAATATTTTGTAAATAAGTTTTGGAAGGCTTTGATTAATTCTTCTTCAGTCCAATTACAAGACGTAATAATGAAAATGCCGTTGCAGCCCATTAAACGGCACACAGTGTCCATGTATAATAACCTTTTCTCCTTAGGATTGTGTGGGCATAAAGAAACTGCATCATATGTTCCTTTATCGTGAATGATGTCAAATTCACCCAGTAAACTGCAGGCCTGAACGTCCATTAAGTCCGCCACCGAGTAACGAATCGTTAAGCCTTGGTCATGAGCAATTTTTTCGGCTAAGCTAATCGCTTTTGGAGAATAGTCTATACCTAGTAGATTTACACATCCTTCTCTAGCCAATTCTACTAATAGCATACCATTACCGCAGCCCAAGTCAATAATATGTGAATTACGTTTAGCCTTGTATTGCTTTAATATCCAATCGATTATTCGAAATTGAGAATCCTCATCAAACCAAATTTCCCCAACATCGCCATTACATTTGTAGTTCTTAATTTCACGATTGTAAGCCCGGTCCCAGTAAGATTTTGTGCCCAATTCAGAACCGGCCAATTCCTCATCTGACATGTTAAACTAGCAATATTATATTTTACGAACAGCTGGTATTGCATTGCCGTATCGAGAGTTGGAGTTTCGTAACGCTAAGCAATTACATACACTCGTATATTGGGTCAATGTTTTCTAAACGTTTCCCACTGATTTTAGTACACTCAATCAGATATCTGCAAATACATCCCAGCGAATTTTCGGTTGTTAATTTGCTGAATAGCAGAAGAAGAAGAAGATATCTGCAAACTTTATTCGCAAAGCAACTAACTGTTTTAAAGAACTTAGATAAATTTTACGAATTTCTTGTAGTATAAGTAAATCTGTGCTTTTTTATTTAGGTTTAACAGTTTGAAGTGTTAAAATTTTTAAAGAATGGCACCGCCAAGAAGCGGCAATCAGAATGGCAGAGGTGGTAACAATCGCAGCGGAGGGGGTGGCGGTTATGGAAATTCTAGAAATAGGGATTATGATGGCGGACGTTCAGGTCCTAGCCATAGTAGAGGACGAAATCAAATTCATTCTGGACGCGTAGAACGTCGGAGCAATTTTGGAGGTGGCGGCGGTATGGGACGAGACAATCGAAACAGGGTTAGCGGAAAAATTGGCAGTGGAGGAAGTAGTGGTGGCGGAAATTCTGATGATTTCTCTAGTAAGTATAGCGGAGAATATTAATAAAAATATATTTACTACTTTTTATTATATTTATATAGAATTACGAGACGTCACTTGGTCCGATATGCGCTTGCCACCTTTTCAGAAAAATTTTTATCAGGAGCATCCTAAGACTCGCAATCGGCCTCATCATGAGGTTGAACGTTATCGGGCTGCTCATCAAATTACTCTAAAAGGCCAAGCCCCTAATCCTATACAATATTTTGATGAGGCTTGCTTCCCAGATTATTGCTTAAATGAGATACGTCGCCAACGTTATAATGAACCTACGCCGATCCAAGCGCAGGCTTGGCCAATCGCTATGAGTGGTTCAAATCTCGTCGGCATTGCCAAAACTGGGTCGGGAAAAACGCTAGCTTTTATTTTACCTGCTATTGTGCACATTAATCATCAGCCACCTTTACAGAGGGGAGATGGTCCCATTGCTTTGGTATTGGCTCCAACACGTGAACTAGCCCAACAAATACAATCGGTGGCTAATGACTTCGGATCCAGCGCTTACGTGCGTAATACTTGTATTTTTGGAGGAGCTCCAAAAACTAGGCAAACCCAAGATTTAGAACGCGGCGTTGAACTTGTAATAGCGACCCCAGGACGATTATTGGATTTCCTTTCCAATGGCATCACAAACATGCAGCGTTGCACTTATCTTGTCCTTGACGAAGCCGATCGTATGCTGGATATGGGCTTTGAGCCTCAAATTCGAAAAATTCTCAACCAGATTAGACCAGATCGACAAATCCTTATGTGGAGTGCTACCTGGCCTCGCGAAGTGCGTCAGCTGGCCGAAGATTTTTTGGGCAATAACTACATACAAGTGAGTGAAATTCTGAAATGTAAGATTGTATAGTAAGAAGTTCCGCTATAGGTTAATATTGGCTCATTGGAGTTATCCGCCAATCATAATATACGTCAATACGTTGACGTGTGCCAAGAAGCGGATAAAGGATCCAAACTCAAAGACCTATTGTCATTTATTTACGATCAGTCACCACATCCAGGCAAAATCATTATTTTTGTTGCCACCAAAAAAAAAGTAGACGAGTTGTCTCGTTTCATAAATGGTTTTGGTGTTCGTGTGGGCTCTATACATGGTGATAAATCTCAACTGGATCGCGACAATGTACTATCCGACTTTCGCAATGGCCGTGCCAATATTTTGGTAGCCACTGATGTGGCTGCACGTGGTCTCGATGTAGATGGCATAAAATATGTTATAAATTTTGATTTCCCGCAATCTTCCGAAGATTATATTCATCGCATTGGACGCACGGGTCGTAAACATTCCACTGGAACTTCGTATGCTTTTTTCACGCGGAAGAACGCTAAATGTGCCCGCGCCCTCGTGGATATATTACGTGAGGCTAATCAAAATGTGAATCCCGATTTAGAGTACATAGCACGTAACGCTGCTACTATTAGCAGCAAGGAAAAGGAGCGTGACCGTGCCAACCGGGACAGTGGTTTAGGAGGTTCAAATCGTAGAAACGGTGGTAACAGTAATAATTATTCTTCCAATAACGGCTACAGCGGTGGTAATCGTTTTGGCGGTGGTGGCGGTGGTGGCGGTGGTGGTGGCGTCGGCAGCAATTCGGGCTATGGGAATAATGCTGGTTACTCAAATGGTTCCGGAAGATCACGCAATTACTCTAATTCCAGACATTAAAAACATCCTTTTACTCTCTTTCTCTGTCTCTCTCTCTCGCACTGAATCATTTTGAATTAGAAGCTGTGCAGTAATCAACAATTGAAAAATCGTACTCAAGCTCTATATGTATTTTCTTACGTCTCTACAATCTATGATCGTAGAAGCGAAGAGATATGTTACAACTAAAATGAAATGTGAATTCTTTTTCATATACACTCATAAATACTCTATGCAGCATTTAACGATAATTAGCCTATTGGAAGGAAAACCAATACAGCGAAACGTTCGATCTAACCAAATAACATGGATACCTATTATTCGAAGATATTTAATTGATTACTTTAACAAACGTACGTGCGTTCATAACGCAGTCAATCTATATATATGCCAAGTAAAGTGTTTCTTTTTTTTTATATATCTGCTTGTTTTTTTTTGATTTATTAATTTCCCTTTTTTTTGCTAGATGTTGGGATGTAGCTTTTTTTCTTGAGCAAGCAAGGAAAAGAAAAAAATCGATTAACTAAAATGCCAAAACCTACTTTTTTGGGACCATAACTGATTTGTTGGCGCGATGTTATCTGGTAAACATAAAATTTCACTACAGTTACTGTAGCTTGTCAAGTTGGCAATTATAAAATTTGTTTTGCACTTTCGTTAATATTTTAAGCTAGTTTTATAACTTCTCGGTTATTGCGATCGCGTTTTCGTATATATATATATATTTTTATAGTGAAAACAGTTGATAGTGTAGGACGTGCTAATTGTTTGGTGCGAAATTTGTGAAAACCTCTTTGCTCTTGCGCTGCTGTATTAAAGCCGTATTAAGTGAAATAAAAAGTTGTACGCACGTGACCTTAAGAACGTTTTTATTGAGATTTGCAATGCAGTTTATTATTATTTATTGAGACCTGCAATGAACTTTAAGCATATTTTGGATTGGGAAGACAGCACGTGCCTATGTTTACGGGGCTATGGAATTTTTTATTTATGAATAGACTTCAACGCGTTTGCATGCTCTAAAAACCAGCGAAAAGTGCGCGTCGGGAATTCTGAGGCGGGTTCTTGTTCAGTTCATCACCACTGATCTATCGATCCCGCTTAAATATGGGAACTTCTTTGCACGGTAATTCGACGTATTTACAAGTTTTGATAATTTTCTCTTTAAACTTTGTAATATCTATAAAAGAACGGATTAGTCTATATATTCGGTAACATTATCGATGGAGTTTTTAAGCTGGTGTTGCAGGAGCACGTTTGCGCATCCGCAGCAACGGATGTGTCCTTTAAAAGCTACCTTGACATAATTAGTTGCGTTGGTGTTTTTTGCGGTCAGCATTCACCTCATACAAATATAATAATGAGTAAAGGGATAGTTGATTATACATCTTTGTTTTTTTTCCAATACGAATATGCCTTTGATATCATTGCGCATATTATAATTTTTTTGTCATAATCTATTCATTAGACCCCCTAAAATCCGACAATGAAATGTTTGCTTGAGTTTTCTTATAATATTAACGTTTCCATTTCCTTTGTAAAGTTGAAAAGTATATATTAGGGACCTAATAAAATGCATATTCTATCTATACATTTGGTTGTACAAATAATATGGACGCCTAAAAAGGTCGAAATTCAGTCATTACTTTTATCTTTTTTTTATATTTTTCGGTTTATTGGTCTGTTTACCAACTTTGTATAAAAGCTTACAACACAAAGCAGGATTTAAGATAGACCACAGATACTGATCGATTCAAAATCGTCTAATGAATCGAGTTTGCTTGTACGTCCAATGTTTATCCATCTACCGGTCGCAATTTTTCAGACGTTTTAACGAAATTGCGACTATTGGCGTCTTGAAAATGGAGTGGACGGGACTATTCCTCCACGCTTACTCCCCATATTACGTCTTATTTTAAAAATGTTGTTGTAAAACAAAAGTTCCTATTTCCAAAACTTTTCGAAAAAAATTTGTTTAGTATTAGTATTTCGACAGTGTAGGTCTCATATTACAAAGAAATCGAAGTTTTAATATTTTATGATGATAATTGAGTCATAAAAGCAATTTGATATAAAGATCATGTTGACGACTGATTTTTGTAAGGATTTTGACAGAGTGAATCATAATGTATTTTGGAAAAACTTAGTGTTTTAACTTGATTTCAGTTTATCTACGAGTTAAACTTTCTATGGGAAATCGGCATTATCGCGCAATGGTTGATAGTTCTTCAGCTGAAATAACAGCATTATTTGCATATCACTCTAACTTCAATATACGTTTATATGCTGATGATGCACAAATGTGTCTTTCACGCCAATACTTGCTTGTAGAGGGATTAGTTAACTGAATCAATGAAGTCGGTGTGGGTCAATATTAACGATTCAAAATTACATTCAATTAAAATCATACGTATTGTTATATCTCTCACAGTTTACGATTTTCATTACCCACCTTATGTTAAAATGGTAAACGAAGATATTGAGTTTATTCACGTGACCTCAAATCTGGTTCTCGGGCATTCCTCTAAACATTGATGATCATGTTAATTTCACGCTAATATCCGGAGGTAAAATTTTGAGGAAACTGTAAGTCTCCCTATTGCATACTTCAAGTTAAGCTAAATTGAGATTGATTAAATGTCTACAGTATAGTGGCAATGCATGTTCTAATTTGGACTATGCTCCTAGTCACAGGTTATGTCAACAAGCGTGCCAGATATGCCACAATAAAGAAAGATACAACTGAATATGACAGTTTTTATTTAGATTTACATAAGGCCCCGATCCTCTGACGAACCTTATTATCAGAAATTTAGTTTTCAATAATAAGATCTTCCGATCCCATAATCAAAATTATTTATATGAGAACGGGCGGACGGTTCCAAAAAATGTAAATAAATAATCTCGCCTCTTCCTGAGGTGCATCGCTCTGGGCGATTAGGCAATATGCGTACACAGAACTTTCCGGTAGCCGTAATATTATCGATAAATCATTAATTAAATGGACCACATTTGGATCATATAGATAAGTTTTTTGAATTCAATTCTATATAGTATATGTTCTCATGAAAAGCACGCCTTTGTAAAAAAGTCTAATTTAGCTTCGAATATAAATTGATGAAAATTAATAAGACCTTTGACAAGCAAAATAAAATTTTCTAAATTTCGCCAGCGTAAGTTCACTTTTGGGGTTGGCTATTTTGTAGGAGCTCCCATGCAAAGTATATTCTTACGTGGAAAAAATGCATGAATTTTAGTATTTTCGTGATCGTATAGCTTATCCTTGTTTGACTATAATGTTTTTATTTGTTGTAGGTTTAACATTGCAAAGTCGAATAGTTAAGGTAATCGTGTGTAAAATCATTTTTGTTGATTTTGGAGAGTCGATTTTTTCATAGCTTCAGCTTGCAATGAAGCAAGAATTAGTTACATATCTGATAACGATACAATTGTATCGATTGCAAGTAGGGTTTACCATTTTATGTTTTTAGAAATTTCGGAGATACCAAGTAGGAGTAAAATGTTATCTGATATTATCGATTGTATAGCGTGGTTTACTATTCAAACTGTTTATTCAACGCGTTAAATTTTTTGAATTTAACTCAATAATGAGACGTCGGATTACGCCGTATAGTCGTTAAATTCGAAGTTATTACTAGAAGGAGAGCAGATTCTCCCATTATCCCTGTTTCTCATGTCTTATCTTATATAAATGTTGTCGTATTTAGATTATCTCAGTTGAAAAATATGATGTAAAATGTCGTAAACGACATAGCATTCGGTGCATTCGGTTAAAATGTGCTCTTCTAACTGCCCTTAGGTAATCTGCTTGATTAGATTGCGATAACCAATTTTGAAAGCAATTGACTGCCAAATTGTTCGACGTCAATGAAATTTGCGCAGCTCCTGAATTGTTAATCGTAATCGTGACACATGTTTTTATAACGAATAGTACTACAATGCATCTCTTAACCTTTTATGAGAATTATGGAAATAATCGAAACGTTGTTTTGTGTGTGTTTGTGTTTTTTTTATTAATATAGTTTAAAGTCGGTTAGCACATAAATATAAAATATTATCTACAGCTCGTGGAATTTTTATAATCTTCACTACCTTCGGTGCAAGGATATATTATGTTTGCGCGGGTGTATGCAACGACCGCGGATAGGACTTAGGATAGACCCACCTTATTTATACCGATCGATTCAGAATCACTTCCTGAATAGTTCTAAGCTTGCCTGTCCGGCTGTCCATAAATCAGTCTTGTTTTCTTGGGTTCAATCTGCAGGTCACAATTCGCTGTTAAAAATGGTTCGATTTATAATTATTTTGATTTCGAACTCTATAAAAGTAATACAAACATTCAAGGCGAAGAAAAAATGTATTATTTGATGCAAGTTTTGTACAAAGTTCGGCTCAGCTTTTAACTCGCATAGAAATGATCAAATCAACGCATCTCTATCCCGAATTTTGTCTTCGATTTAGTTTCCTTTCTGTCTAAGACGAGGGACTCCTCTCCGACTGTGTGAGGACTGTGAGGCATATCGTGGTATAAAAATTTATATGTCGCGTAAAGGCTTGGTTTTAATATAATGACTAAGACTACAAAAATTCTCATTTTTTAGTGTTAATCAACAGCTTGCAAGAAAATTATATTCGATTGTGATCAAATGACCGTTATCCTAAAAAAGACTACAAAGAAGGGAAAGAAATAAATTTTCATACCATATGATATTGGATAGGCAGGGCTGAATTTTTCTATTTCCAGAATAAAAGTAGAAATTTATATGGTGTACGTATTGTACGTTATGAGTAACAACAAAGAACACGGAAAGCAAAGGTGTTCACAGTTCTTGCTGCATAGGTGTGGTAAGCTTGTCCTTTGACCCTTTTCGATCATTATTTTGATTTTTGCGAACGGAAGATTGTTTACCACAGAGATTGCATATTTAGGAAAACAGATAGATGGATAGATGAGTAGACGAACATGCTTGGCTGCCTTCTGAAGTTGAAACTGGTCAAGACTTTATATACCTTATGGATTTTTTGAAGCTTGTTTCTTCATTTTTTAAAGACATTGGAAAAAGAAATTAAATATTAATATACTGTAATATTGCGTAGACATGGCCAATGTGCCAATTTTTTGTGCAGATACTACAGCATCGTCCATAAAAGATATCTTCAAATTTTTGGGGTTTTATCTAATGTAGTTTGTGCATAATAACCAAAAAAAAGTTTTCATTCCTTTTGAAAAACATAGGTAATCTCCGTTTACGCGACATCTTAGGCGTAACCTTTGACTGAGTTTTCTCATTTTCGATACCAACCTGTGTGCAAGGACTTTCAATTTTTTTTTGTTAAACTTGAGGGTGATAGCTTCATTTTTGCGACCGAGAGAATCTTTACAACATACATTAGAGGGGCGGACAGAAAAACAGCTGAGGTCCGTATTTGAAGAATTTATATACTTTATGGATTTTTTGAAGCTTGTTCCTGCGCGTTATAAAGGTATTGGGAAAAAAATTAAATTTTTGTACAGGTACTACACCATCATCTATAGAGTATACCTTGAAATTTTCGCAGATTTATCTGATGTAACTTGCGAGTAATTAGCAAAAGACCCACTTTTTATCGCTTTTGAAAAACAGAGTTGTTTTCAGTTTACGAGTTACAGTTAGGTGTGTTCTTCGACCGATTTGGCTCATTATCAATAGTCATCTACGCGCGAGAACTTCCCACGTTTCTGCTGAATTTGAAGTAGATAGTTTCATTTTTACGGCCAAAAAAACAGACATTACACGGAGGGACAGGCGAACACTCTTAAATCGACGCAGAATTTAGTGCTGACCAAGAATATATCTATTTTGTGGGATCTCTGAAGCTTCAGTGTATATTTTTCCTTCTTCGGTGATGGGCTTAAAACAAAATTTTATTTTTTGTTGCAAATCAAACTTGAAATAACCAAATAAATTAAAGCTCGAAGTTCAAATGAGCTTTAAAGGCTCATCGTGTATGCTTAAGGGTTAATAGTGAGTAATGAAACCACATTCTTTTTTTTTTAAACACAAAAATTTATATTCAGAAGAAAAATATTTTATGAAAACAAAAAATACATTTCGCTTAATTTTTGCAATTAACTAAAATATCTGATATATTCAAAAAAGTTGACAAAAAATCCAAAAAATAAAGAACAAAAATAAAAAAAGAAAATATTTCATATTAATTCGTATAAGCATATCATGAATTATCTTCGGCGCGACATGACGTTGAGACATGAGAAATTGTATTAGAATAGAAAAGGTTGTGTTATATGTTAGTGATGAGTATTTCCAACTGGTCTCAAGCGTACGTATGTGGATATGTTTGTATGAATGTGTATATGTATGTATGAATGTGTGTATGTATGTATGTATGTATGTATGTATGTATGTATATATATTTGTAGGAATATTAAGATTATTCATAAATTAAACCCATTTGCATTATTTTTTAAGCAGATTCACGAACAATTTGTTTAATTAATATACTAATGTTACGTTTAATTCTTAAAAATTTCTATATAAAAATTGTAAAGATGATTGAATTTGCATTTTATCTTGAAATCTTGAAATGCTCGATGCTTTTAAGATTACGTCATCTACTGGCCCTGGTTGCGATTGCGGGATCCTGTAAAAGAAGAAATAAAAAAAAAAAAAATCAATAAAAACAAAAAGAAAAATGCATAAAATTTAATGTAAAGAAAAACATTTCATTTTCTTGCTGGCACTGAATTTATTTACCTTTGTTTTTACGCTCCTTTCTTTGCTTGTTTGCTCCACCCGAGGGATTGCATTTCTTGTTAATGCTGCGCACTGTCTCACAGTTGGAATCGTTTCTGCCTTCATTGCCGCCTGTTGATTTCAATTTATCCTCACGCGTCATTTGACCATTAATGCATTCAGACCAGGCGCCTTTTTCATAACGACACGCTATGCATTTCATATAAAATTGATTTGAAGTCTTTTTTTTTTTTTTTTTTTTTTTTAAATTTTTCCTAAATTGTTAAGTACGAACGTTTGTTTCTTGTTTGCATTCATGTGAGTATGAACATGAATGTCGGCTATCGTGCATGCAGGAGGATGTGCATAAGAGTTTTAATTACTCTAATGACTTTTAAAACTTGATGGATGATGCGGTTTATTAACGTTTTTTTGCGTATATTATAAGCACATGAAGAAAGAGTAGGATGGCGTAAAAAGAGCAATTGATTTAGTCGACTAGTAAAGTACCTATGCATGTTCGATGGGATGGGAGTACTTATATGTAAATCGAGTAACTATATATATATATTTTTGGCAGTCTAAATTAAGGGGATGGCCGAACGGAGGTTAGTTTGGGTTCAAAGAAAATGAATCGTAGCCCTAGAGACCTTTTAATTGTACGTAAAAAAAAAAAAACAAGACATTGTAGTCGACTGTGGCCGTCTCAGGTGAATACCTAACACCACCTCACTTATGCTTTATATATATACTCTACGCAAATTTTGGTTCAGGATATATTAAGTTCATGCGGACGTATGTTACATTCAGAAGGGTGGAAGTTAGAACTACTTGTTATTATGCCGATCATCTTGTCTGTCCGTCTGATGTCTGTCCACGTTAAAACGTGTTCAACTAAACATCGCACTTTTCGGGATTGTTTGATGGAATTTGGTCCACTGACGTGTTTTAGCTCAACGACGGACGCCTTTGGAAACGGTTCGGATCGCACCACTTTTTCGACGATAGTGATTAGTTTTTGCAAGAAGGAATTACCGTAATTTTTAGAATTTCAGGAAAAAAAACGCTTAGTAATCGTTTCTCGGCATTCTAAATTAGTGTGAAAAGTTTGGATGGGGCAATTCTTTGAGCCCGCTTTGTGGTTCCCAAGCCATGTAAGACTTTTAATGAAAAATAAGGCTTTATATGTCAAAAAAGGTTCAATTTTTCGTTAGTAGTAAATCAACCATAAGTATTCTGGATCATACAGATTTATTTTCTAGACCCCACTATATATAGGATCTTTCATGAAAGCAAGCCCTTCTATGGCGACCAGGTCTAATTTGTGGTTTATCACGATGGAAGCATCTGTAAAATAATAAAATCTTTAACAACTAAATTAAGTTTGCAAAATTTAGACCACTTTGACGTTTGAGTATCCTCCAATATGAAGGCTTTCATAACAATCATGTATTTATATAAAAATTATGTATATTTTTTGGAGCATTACGAAGTAAGCGAATTTATTATTATGTATGTAATTGTTGGCTTTGCTCGACTATAGCATTCTTACTCGTTTTCCATTGCCAGAAGGCAAAGTTGTACCTCAACTTATTCATTTTATTGGCAAATTATTGCTTTAAAATTTCTGCTTTAAGTTTAAAAATTTCTTAAAACATTTTATTGTTGTTTCCTAATATTTTTGCTATAAGCTTAGTAAAGAAATTAGAGGCAAAAACATATTTATGGGGTATAAGCAACAATTTCAAAGTTTTCAACAAACATTCATATATTATTAGAATATGTAGGCATGTGTTTACGTCTATGCCTATGCCTATGCCTAAGCCTGTGCATCTAAATATGTTGAAGTGATTAAAAATTTTAATTACAAACCGCCTCTAAATTACATACATATATGTATGTTAGGCTTTCTACTCTTTGCTATCCATATAAAAGTGTCTATCTGTCTGAATACATGTGCGGCTGTGTGAGTGCATTAAAACAAGAACACATACACACGTACACTATACGTTTGAAACGACCGAATTTCTATTGAAACAATCGTAACCATTTTAATGCCTTCCTGCAGAACTGGTGCTGCATTTCCTTTTGCTAAGGCGGGTTGTGCTCATTAAATTTTTTTTTTTTGTGTATTTATTTGTTTTTATCTCTATTTTTATTTGTATTTCAATTTTTTTTTTTTTCGTTTGTTGACAACAAATGATGATGCTAACCCTTTCAATTTCCCTCGAGCATCTAAACGTACATAAAGTGAAAGCTTTTTGTTCTTATTTTATTTTCTTTTTGCATTTTTTTTGTTTTTGTTTTTTTCATACTTGCAATGAAATTTAATATAAATCACATACAGAAAGATAAATGTTTTTTAAGCAACTTGCATATAAAAACCATATTTAATAAGTGCAGATAAATTGAATTTAACTGTACAGTATAGAATTTTCGCTACCCAAACTTAATGTATTTTTTTTTTTTTTTTTTTTTTTTGCAGCTGAGTATATTATATAATATAATGTATAATATAAATGAAGTATCGGTATGCAAAAAAGTCAGGCAAACTTTCATTAGTTGAGAGTTAGAAGATGAGTTATGGTGGTGTCTGGTTAAATAAACTAACAGGTGACTATTAACTAGGACCGCGTTCGTGTCAACTCATCATCGGAGGATTGGTATAAAAAAAGATATGTGCGGACGCTTGAGTGTTATAGATAGATTTGTATATATGTTCCTTCTAAATTTGATTGTTTCTTCCTGCGAGCGACGTATAACTTGTTTAAAAGATAACGGGATAAACATGTATTTTTATTACATTTTTTCCATCAAGGATCTAAACCCTTTAATTTCATAAGCACGATGCACCAATGTAAACATTTAATTTTTAGATTTTCGTTAATTGTGAGTATAAGTCTATTACACGATTTATAGTAACATATCACTTAATAAAGTCGTAGGAGGATGATATGTAGATGCCGCCACTATTGAAAGATAGTATTAAGCGGCAAATGACTTGTGCCAAAATTTCATGACATTCCGGCCGCTAGTTTACAAGTCATAGTTGTTTTACAGCCTCATTCTGAGCAAACATCACAGAGCATGTCATCAATCGGAAGTTCAGTTTCAGTGTTTTTGACTTAAGGGATTTGTTTCGTAATAAAATTGACATTTTCTCGCGATTATTGCTCCGGAATAACAAATTGCTAAAGTAATGACAAGAAAATATGGTGCTTTTCTCTTAAAATTTGCGATTGTTCACAACGTCGCATCTCCGGGCACGGTTCATAGTGAGGCTAATTTTGTAATTTTCAAAATAGTGCAAAAATCTGGGCAGAAAAAAGGCTTTCAAATAAAGCAATGGCTGGACATGTGTTGTTTGGATTCTGCTCTATCCAGAAAAATGGTGGAGAGGTGGTTCACAGATTTTAAGCACGGGGCATACGAACACTAGCGATGCTGAACGCACTTTAGTCGCGGTTTTTCCAGTTAACGTACAAAAAATGCGCAAGATCGTCTTGGAAGACCGAAAAGCGAAGTTGCATGAAATACAGGGCACTCTTAAGATATTATAAGGCAGCGCATTAACCATTTTACATGGACGTTTATCTATGAGAAAGGTCTGCTCGAATTGGTTACCGCGTGTGCTCACTTTTGACAGAAAATGTCAATGTGTTGACGACTCAGAGTACTGTTTGGAGTCGTTTTAGCGAAATTAAAAACTAATTTGTCAAGCAATATATGCCAACGGACAGACTCATCACTATACTTCAGAGTCAAATCGGCAATCAACTGAGTGGATAGCAAAAAAGACAGAAGTCGACTGTGAAAGTCATGGCTTTGATGTTGAAAAAGAGACAAAGGATCAATAGGGAATACTGAGTAGCGTCAGTAGAATCCTTGAATGAAGAAGGTCCAGAAATTGGGTCCAAATGAAGAAGAAAAAAATGCTCTTTTACCAAAACAATGCATCGTGTCACAACTCGACCACAACAATGACAAAATTAAACGAATTGAATTTAGAATTGCTTTCACATCTAGCGTATTCTCTTGATTTGGCGCATAGCGACCATTATCTGTCCACGAGTCTCAAAAAAATGTTTAAAATGTATTTTAAAGGGTTGGACTAATCCTATTCTCTGTAAAAAAGGAATAGAAATGTCACAGAAACGTTGAAATTAATGTACTACTCTTGCAGGAGAGGGCTATGTTAGCGGCACAATGTCGAGTTTTGTCTAAAAGTTGTTGTGTTATGTAATGATGGCACGAACTTATTGAGTGAAATCCTATATATGAACTTAGATAGATTCAAGTAAAATAAACAGAAAATTTAACACAAACCCTATCGATCTACGTACACATTCATATACGCAAACACACAAACAAATATATATATATTAGTTTGGGGAAAAAGAAATCCATTATTTTTTCGGTAGATAGCTGCACTGATAGATTTCTCGTAAAGTATCGATCAAACAATTTCAGATTTATGCTCGTTGGAAAGGTGACATTTCGCAGTAAAAAAATTCTTTTGCTGTTTTTTGTTTGGTGCATTCAGTTGTGAGTTACAGCGTGTTAAAAATGGAAGTGAACAAAGAGAAAATTCGGTACATTTTACGGTTTTTCTTTGACAAAGGCGAAAATGCAAGCCAGGCGGCTAAAATTGTGAATGGTGTTTATGGTTCCGATACTGTAACAGTCAATTATGTGCAATTTTGGTTTTGTAGATTCCGTTCGGGAATTTTTGATGTTAAAGATGCACCTCGCACAGGTAGGCCGGTCGTCGAAAATGTCGATAAAATCGGAGAAATGATCGAAGTTGACCGGCATGTTAGCAGTCGTAACATCGCCCAGGAGCTAAAAATCGACCATAAAACAGTTTTAAACCATTTACACAAAGCTGGATTCAAAAAGAAGCTCGATGTTTGGGTGCCATACCAATTAACAGAAAAAAACATGATGGATCGAATTTCCATCTGCGAAGCCTTGGCCAAACGGAATGAGATAGACCCATTTCTTAAACGGATGGTGACTGGAGATGAGAAATGGATCACATACGATAACCCTGTGCGAAAACGATCGTGGTCAAAGAGCGGTGAAGCACCTCAAACGGCCAGGAAAGTTTTGCTATGCATTTGGTGGGACTGGAAGGGGATTATTTATTATGAGTTGCTTCCATATGGCCAAACGCTAAATTCTGATCTCTACTGTCAACAACTGGACCGTTTGAAGATAGCGATTGACTAGAAACGGCCAGAATTGGCCAACAGGAGAGGTGTCGTGTTCCACCAGGACAACGCTAGGTCACACACATCTACAGTGACTCGCCAGAAACTTCGGGAGCTTGGTTGGGAAGTTTTAATGCATCCGCCATACAGTCCGGACTTGGCACCAGGCGATTATCATCTTTTTCTTGCATTGCAAAATTTCTTTAATGATAAAAAATTGGAATCTAGGGAGGATTGTGAAAATCGACTACTAGAGTTTTTTGCAAATAGAGACCAGGACTTCTATGAGAGAGGCATTTTGAAGTTACCTTTAAAATGGCAACAAATCATACAACAAAACGGTGCATATTTGACCCAAATCGAACAATCCGAAGCTTGTTAAATAAAGTCCTGAAGTTCATATAAAAATAATGGATTTCTTTTTTCCCAACCTAATATATATATATATATATATATATTGTATATATATATATTGTACGTATCATGCTACTCCGCTTTGCAAATGTTCAGCGAATTTAATGCAATTAGTACGAAGACTAAAACTAATAGGTGTAAGCAAAATATATCATAAAAAAGGAAAAGAAAATAAATAAAATATTTTTGCTATAAGATATAAAGTTCATTGCACTTTTTCGCAATCCAATTAAAGGCTAATTACATTTCTTTTAAACGATGCTACATTGTTCTCTATTGAAATTTATAAATATTGACATTTATAAATTTTTGTTCAAACGCATCGCACTTCAGGGGATATATAAAAATATTACAAGAATTACTGGTCATCTAATGGAATTTTTATACCTTACAGCAATGGTTTGTGCGAATATTTGTAATATCCGAATATAGTGATCAATTCAAAATCATTTTCTGAATCGATTTAAGCTTGTTTGACGGTTCATGCAATTTTATACCCATCACCGAAGGATGAGAAGTATATTCATTTTGTCTGTTCGTAAAAATGAAGCTATCGGCTTCAAACTTTGCAAAAATATTGGAAGTTCTTACCCGCAAGTTAGCATTGAAAATGGGTCAAATCGCTCAACTGACACCCCTTGCAGCACCACATAAACTGAGACCATCTCTGTTTTTCAAAAGGAATAAAAAATTAGTTTCTTGGTCACTACTCATAAACTGTAGCAGATAGACCAACAAAAACTTTAATGTGCATTCTATGAGCGATACTGCGGTAATTGTACAAAAATGGAAAAAATGGATCGCGCTTAGCCAATATTACAATCTACCAAAGTTTAATGTTTTTTCCAATACTTTTTAAACGCGCAGAAGAAAGCTTCAAAATAACCCTAAAATTATATAAATTCTTGTCCAGTTTCAAATTTGGATTGATCCTAAGCATGTCTGGCTGTTCGTCTGTCCATCTGTCCGTCTGTTCAAATGTGTAGTGTTTGTAGCAAACATTCTTCCGATCGCAAAAATGGAGATATTGCAAAAGAGTTTGAAAATGATCGAAACCGATCAAGGGGCTCGCCTATCACGCCCACACGCCGATACAATAAAAATAGTGAACATATTTGCTTTCGGTGTTTTTCGTTTGTTACTCATAAAATACAACGCATACACACATAAAAGTTCGGCTTTTATTCTGGAAATCAGCCGCGCCCCCTTTCTTCAATATTATATAGTATGGAAAATGTTTATTCTAAATTTGATGCAGTAACGTGCCTTGGGTTTAAGTACGAGACCTATTCAAAATTCACTAGAGCGAATAACTTTTGTAACAACTTCTTATATAAACGAAGCTAAACTTTCATATAACAAACATTTCATAGTTGAAATTGGGCCGTAATAGGAATTTGATATAAAAATTGACCGTACCGAATTGGAACAATGTAAGTCCATTATGCGGAAGTTCTCTTCACCTACGACTTTCAGAAAGAGAAAGAAATCGTTATATGGCGAAAAGGTTTAAATTTTAGTATTTTATGGGGAAAATCGGCCTATAATAGTTATTTTATATAAAACTTGAGCGTATTACATTTTGGTCATATGGGCTTATTGGTTGGACCCCATTCCTATACAAGGTTTTTCACAAAGATGAAGTCTGTATACGGCAAAAAGAGTTTAGTTTTTAATATTTTACGATGAATGATGATTGATCTTTAACAGCAATTTGATATAAAAACCAAACGTAGCAAATTGACATTACGTCCAGTTTTCAAAGAACACTTTATGTAAAGGTTTTTGCGAAAAGTAAGTCTTTATGTGACACCAAAGTCTAATTTGTAGCCTTTTTATGACGCACATGTGAAGAATGATAACATTTTTAACAAGAAAAATAAATTTGTTAGGTTTGGACAAGTTGACAATTAGGGCATCGTCCCAGTGTAAGGGCTTTCATGAAAATGACATATTCACTTGAAAACGAGATAAAATTCCTGAGGCACGAAAATGAATGAATTATTATATTGAACGCAACGATGTAGCGTACCTAAAAACAGGCTTGGCTGATTGTAGTGCTTCAACTTGTTTTTTTTTTTTCAATTTTTAAAAATTTGTCCTGTCAACTGATACCTTAGATAATATGATATTTTTACGTGTATGATAACGCAAAAGAAATTTTTAACAAAAGAAATTATTGGTGAAAGTATTAGTGTTAGTATTAATGATAATAGTAGAAGTAGTAGTTATGTTAGTGCAGAAATTATATGCTTTTATAATTATGAAAAACCGAAACCAAGTATTTTTTTGACAACTTTATCTGTGATGAGAGATGAATTGATGATGACAAATAAATGGATTAAGTGCATGGGGAAAAAAAACTGTAACTGTGTGGTTGTGTGTAGAAATTTATATTGTTGGATATAGTATGAATTTTGTGGACTCACGTTTTTTACATTTCTTCTCCATGGTTCTGGTTTGCAAACAATTCGGGTCACCTTTTTTAAGCGTTAAGGTACGTGTACGCAAATTAGTTTGGGGATCGCAATCAGACCAGGCGCTCTTGGCATAACGGCAAGTTGTTGCTACAGAATATGTGCGGAAAACAAGAAAAAAAGGACAAAAAAGATAAAAAAATCATTAAATAACATGGAATATATCAACATATGTACATAGATACAAACATACATATATACATATCATAATTGGATTTATGTATAATTAAATATATAGCATGCATATTGTAAATAAAAATTTGATGCCGATGCGGTCAATGCAGAATTTTACAGTCATACTTTTGTGTACGTTTGCATGGTACATTTGATCAACCCTTTGAAAAGAATTGTATCCTCACTGTATCTAGACAATTTTACATACAGACTTACTTCATCAAAATATGTTAAAAATTGCGGTCCATAGGTTAACACACAACAAAAGAAGAGAGATGAACAGATGGATAGCTTTGCGGCTTAATAAAAGTTGGATCAATTTCAAGTCCTTCTGCGTATTGCATACATCCGCACAAGTTTCTTGTGCCACAATTGCTGTGAGATATAATTATACGAATTTATCGAAATTTTAAAGATATGCTTTAGATGTGTTTAAATATCGGGTGAATATATAAACTAAAATTTTCTATATCGTTTTTTTTCTTTCACATACTACTACTTTTCTTCACATACACATCAACTAAGGGACGTTATAGAAAAATTGATTTTTATATTCGACATTCAATAATTCTCCTATTTCTGCCAAAGAGAAACCTTTTTAAGATCTATAGCCAGTGCGATCAATAAATAAGACATTCAATGGGATAACTATATTTTATTTTTTAGTATAATACGACTTGTTGAGCACTTATATATATATATATATTTCAAGTTCTTCGTTTGATACAACCCGCTTAACCAATGCTCTTCTTTTGAGCTTTTAAAAAAGATTAGTCATGAAGAAGAGGATAAATGTGAGCGCAATGCGTATATCGATATACCAGGAAGAAGTTAAACGCAAGTAAAAACAAGTAAGAAAAGATTTATCTTAAAACGAAAAGGAAAGTGATGTAGGATTTTCTATAGAATGAACGCGGAAACTTGTTCTCAATGAGACAAAATTCAAATTTTACTATACTGTAGGCATGCCGTTTGATCAGTTCGCCTCATTTTCCATACCAGCTTGGGTGCAAGAACTTTCAATAAGTTTAGTTAGAGTTAATTTCGAGATCTTAGTTTTTAATCGATGCGAGTTCTTTCGATCGATGCATAATTTGATAGCAATGAAGAATTTAAGATAAGTTGATAGGACCTCTGGATCTTCCTTTTGGATGTTGGGAACATTACGACAAAATGAATGCAGCCTCACCCTTAGATGGTGTGGGCATAGCAACTCTATTGACAATTCTATATCATTTTGTTATAGTACCAATCTTCAAACGATAGCTGACAGGTTACGGCGGCTTTACCACAGCTTCCTTTTTTTATTTACAAAACAATGAAAAACTCCGGATTTCATTTGTTGATTAAACTTTGCTTTTTGATGAGAAAAAGTACCGTTAACAATAAGCATTGCCTTAAAAGATGTTATGGAGAATTTCTTCTGATATTATGGAAACGATATTCCGTTCGAATTCGCCAGTTGTTCCAAAAAGCATAAAAAAAATGCACGAAATCGTTTTGGAAAACCAAAAATTGAAGTTGTGTAAAACACTGCAACCTAAAGATATGAAAAAACAGCCCGTGCACCATTTTGCATGAACGTTTATTTAGGTAAAGGGTTTGCTGGAATTGGTTGCTGCGTTTGGTGACTTCTTAGCAAAACGGGTAATTTGTTTAGACGTTTAGGCGAAATAACACATGCGAATCAACATTCCAAAAAATCACAAATCGACTGCGAAGGTTATGGCACCCATGTTGTAGGATGGGTATGGTATAATATTCATCGATCATCTTGAAAAGGGACAAAGGACCAATAGTAAATATTATGTAGCATTACAAAAGGGGATCGATGGAGAAACTGTAAAAAAAGCCAAGTTAGATCGTAGACAAAAAATGCTAATAATTTTTTTAGTAGTGTCAACTCCTAAATTTACCTTTTACCCTCTCTTATATATATACATAGTTTGATGGTTAAAATGCCGGGGTTTGCGCACTGATTGCATACGTTTTTGAAATTAGTTTGCAGCGAGCAACTAAGAATGTATGTTATGTGTGCCATCGAGTGATTCAATAGAAGATCTCTGTCAGAAACATTAATTGATGGCCGAATTAATGGTGCCATGGACAGAAATATATGAATTTGCACCTCCATGCGCGGTTTTGGTTGCTACAAGTGGGAGGAGAAATAACGCGTACCCTTGTCCTTTCGCTGCTGGATATTAAAACAGTCGCCTTAGAAAATATTGATTTCAAATAGACAAATATTTACTAAAAGTTTCGATATAAAAAAATCCCTCCTCGACGTGTTATTTTTTAAATAATTATTATGTAGAAATTTGCATGATTCATTAAGTGATTCGTGCTTTAAAAATATAGTTTTTTTCTTCGTTATACCGATATTTTATTTCTTTCGGAAGATATATATATATGATTTCGTGTTCAGTTTGGTCTGCACGTCCTTTATATCTTTTCGTTAGTTCCTCAACGGGCGCATTTACCTACTATAACTATTTATTCTTCATCTTTATAATTATGCTTTTATTGTTTTACTTTTCTTCTTCGTTCTCCTTTACAACTCAATACAAAGGGCTTCTGCACGTGTATGTTTGGATGAAATTGTAGTAATCAGATTATGCTCTAGAACATAGCGCTAGTATGGAAAAAAAAAAATGTAAATGTTTGTTGTACTCATAAATATATGTAAACATGTATACATATATTGCATATGCACAGGCATGCATACGTGATTAAAGGGAAATATACCAGATGTTATAACCTAGTGATGCATGTATGTGGTATATAACTTTGATATATTGTTAATGAAACCACCAAATAACGAGAACACTTATGCACAGATTTCCTTTAGTTTACAAAATTGCATCGTAAACATGTAAGATTTTATAGAAAAATAAGGTCTTATATAAGGCGTTGAGAAAAATGTTTTTAAATATTAAAAGCAAAAAAAAATTTATTATAATCAAAAGCAACGATGCAGTCGCTGCAAGCCGACCGATTTAATATATATTTAAATTTTAAAGATAATTTGTTTAAGAAAACTATATACACATTTTGGTCAGGCCATTTACTTCACATTGAAAGTATCTTGAAATAGATGTTTGTTATAATTTGCATCTACATTTTCTATAGAAAATGCCTTGAAAAGAAGGAGTAAAGAAACGTTCCTTTTTTAGTTTGATACACGATTAACCAACGTCTCATGTTTTTGTTAATTGAAATTTTTCGTAAATAAACGCTCGAGAGAAATTTTGGTTATAAGTGCGATACACATTATTAATACATAATACATATATTAGTAATGAAATTGTTGTAGGTTTTGGGAAATTTTAAGCGTCCTTGGAAATCACTCCAAAATGTATTTCTACGATCTGTAATAGCTCTCGCTATTAACTTAAGCCAGTCTTTAGTCTTCCGATTTAATACTTGCATACGGACAGATTCATCATCATAACAAGAGGAGACAAGAGAAATACAAAAGCATAGATAAAGGAAAAAAGAAAAGTGTAATAGTACGGTACGTGGTCGCCAGTCGCAGAAATCTTAATCGGAATATGTGGTACTTATTACATTCAGTTCTATACCTAACTTCTATTATATTTGTTATGTAGGTTGTTTGAAAACTCTGCGACGTAACCATGAAGTTGGAAACAATAGTTCCCAAAAGTCAAGCAATATGTTTATGCCTGTGTGTTGACAAGTGCTCAATGAAATTTTATTCATTCATTTTTATACCAATCATCGAAGGATCAGGGATATATTAACTTTGTCAAAACAGTTGAACAGTTAAAACGCCTAGAACAAAGCTTCTGAGACCCTACAAACTATATGTATTCTTGATCAACATCAACTTCTGAATTGATTTAAGTACGTTCGTGTGTCTATCTGTTTGTCTATGGTAAACATTCTCCTGGTCGTAAAAATATCGACTATAAATTTAGCAGGAACGTTGGAAGTTCTTGCAAGTTGATATTAAAAATGAGGCAAATTAGTCCAAACACAAGCCCATTGTAAAGCGTAAACTCAGCGTGAACTCAGGCAACCAAGTAAAATGTTGTGCATTGTTGTGCACTCATTATTCATCCATTATAAAAGATAGCAGGCTGAAAATTCCTATATCTACTTTATGAAGGATCCTACTATTTATGCACAAAAATGGGAAAAATCGGCCACGCTCACGTAGAGTTCGAAGTGATGAAATTATTATTTTATTTATTTTTTGGACGTTTCCCGCCTATTATTCTCAAGGTAAGCGAGATAGTATGTTGAAAATTATTTTGTACATACCTCACATAACGATATATAAGGATATATCTTATCGAAAATGCGTTAATTCTAAAGTAAATATGGTGGACTTCAAAATATGAAGGGTTCGTTTTTGTTTAGCAGTATAACCAAATAAAAGAACTTAAAGAGTAGAATGCGATCAACTAAATGTATTTATTCTATGGTGATTAAATTCTTCTATGGTTAATTTACTAAGGATCAATTTTCATCATCAAACATTAAAACTTAAATCGCTTTGGCATATAAAGTTTTATTTTTATTGTTCAATAGAAATCTTATTTGGTTTGGGATCCGAATAGCAAATCTATCTGGTCAAAATTCGGGAAGGTTGTGTTGATTTCTATCCCAATTTACTATCATGGACCAATTTTCATCATGAAACATTGAAAATTAGGCGTTTTCTCCATATAGAGTGTAGGAACGGTTATATGCTAAGAGCTTCAAAAACAGCCCCATCTGATCTAAAGGTTTCATATCAATATAGAATGCCGAAATATTATTACTAATCTACTTTTGTCGCGAGATTCTAAAAGTTACAATATTTTTTCTTATAACTTCGACTTATTACTTTTAACTTTGTTTAATAAGTCTAATGGGGAGTGATCGAAAGAATGATTCGATATCAAACATGCTCACTAGCGTCCGTCCTTTAGCTAAAACACTTCAGTGTAGTAAATTTTATTAAAACATTGCGGCGCATAGATTGAATGCAATATTAAATGAATAAATATAAGACGGACAGACAAGTTTCGATCGATTTAGAAAATGATTCTGACCGAATCGGGATAGCAAAAGGTGGGACCATATCGAACCCCTTTGGATGTTGCATTCGTCCGCACAAACCTAATATACCCTTATAATACAAATATTGTAGGATATAAAACATATCTAGCACATAGGCAAACTTGCGGCTAGTATAGTCTGGGTTAGCAGTGAATCTCCGAAGCGCTGTAGACACGTAAAGTCTTGGTAACCGATAGCGGCGAACATGTTTACTATAATTTGTGAATCGTAGAGAGCTGCAATGATGAGAAACCGCTGTCAATTTTTCGGGCAAGAATTTTTTTTCATTGGCCCATTAGATGCTTTGTGCGTTCTAGAACATGTGAAAAGAAATGTCATTACCAGAAAGAAGTTTTTTCCTTAAAGTTTCGAAAGCTTCCCTCCGTTTTTCGAAATGAGTTCGAAAGGATGCAGCAGATTTGCCAAGCACAAAACTTTGAATTCGGCTTTTGAATTA